ATCTATGTACCAATTTTCACCAAAATCTGATTAGTGGTTCTTGAGATAACTGTGGAACAAAAAAAGTGACATACATACATACATACATACATACAGACATACAGACAGGGTAACTGCAAAGACTCCCTTTTGTGCTTCGCACACGGGAGTCAACAATGTAATATATATATATATATATATATATATATAGATGGCAATCTCCTTGCTACTTCCTAGGATTCCATTCCATGATCATTCAGACTCACTTATTTAAGTTCACTGTCACCAAAAATGTAATCGATCATACCGTGGATCATTAACATACGCCTTATATTTATGTAGGCGCATACTAATGGTGAAAATACGGTATTTGTTGCTCAAATAGTTTTGTTACTAACCCATGAACACTCTGACCACATACAGAGCAGAAAGTGGCGCCCAGTCTATTGCGTTGGCAGTTCAATTCTCATTCCAATAAAAGAATTCAATTCTGAATGATCAGGAGGGTTAATTTTAGAATAAATTTGCAGACCGGATAGATTCCTGTCGATTGGTATGTTAATGTAATGGAGAACAAGGAAGAAACATTACCACCAAAGTAACATAGTTCTACAAGTAAGCTTTGACAAAATATGCCCACAGCTGATGGGGGATGTGTATATCATGCGTCATCAACTTTTATCCATCAATCAGCCAGTCAGTCAGTCAGAATGATATATAGAACAGACTTCGTGCTTTTATTTTTTGCTAATGGATTTAACAGGTCAAAATGTCACAAGGTCAATTAGATATTAATCTGAACTCCCTTCTCCCTCCCTCCCTGTGAAATAATCATCTGTTGTTTTTTTTATCTGAATGTTAATTCTATTCCAGTGACTGTAATATGACACAGACAATGTCTGATATGTTATGTCTAATGTGGCACTTATTTGGTATATTCTTGAACTCTAATAATACTGCCATGAGATTTGTACAAAATAAAATTTCTGAAAAAAAGTTTTACCTACCCTTTCATCACAATCCCAATTTAAAAAAAAAATACAATTGTATATATTAAAAGTAAAATTTATTTTTAATTTGATAAATTTATCATTGAATCAATTTATAAATAATGAGACCTTCATTCAACAAAGATGCACCAATTAATAAAATCTAAAAAATTTGACTTGATAAATGTTTTTGTGGAAAACTTTTTAAATTACAAGGTATACAAAATACAGGTAATATTGCAAATACAGATGATTAAACAAATTTTTAAAATGTTGAGATATTCAATGTACAGAGTTAAAATTGTTATTGTATATACCATTTAGGTCATATTTACAATAATGTATTTGCTTTTTTAGAAGCACATCTTGAACAGAAGCATGTACACAAAATCTTTTATTTATTCTATACTCATCATTTTGACTATAAATACCCCATTGATGTGATGACTAATATAGCAAATACAATAATCTGAATTTCAAACATAAATATCTATCGAAATATAAATAGCTGGATTTACAAACTCGTGTATCATTCATTAAATTGCAATTATTTTATTAGATTAGCCATTTGAATGTCGTACTCTTTGCTTTGTGTATGTAAAATATTTATGTATTTCTCGAGAAAGAATTCCGGATCCTTCATTTGAGTCAAAATGAACAAAAGCATGGATTAACAGATCTTGAACAAGTTTAGAAGAAAAAAAAGCAACAAATTACAAAAGTTCATTTTGTTAAAGATGACAAAGTTGACTGATGTTCAAAAAATTATAAAATTATTGCATTAATCATTGTTGTTTATTCCTGCTTCAGTCTCAAATTGCCACAATAAGTTTTATTTCTAAAAACGCATGTTCTGATAAATAAAAACATTTGATTTACTCTGACAGCAATTTACAGCAAGCTTTTAGCTCAGTCAAAACGTTTTTACTTAAATAACGTACAGTATTTGGGTGAAAATCCAACAGCAGTCAAACTACCGAGATAAGATGATAGACAAGAATCCAAATTTACAAAGGGGGATGTTCGACTACCCCTGTTTGTGTATCACTCGACACACCTTGGGGGGGGGGGGGGGAGTTTTATCAGATTAAATTAAGAATTATAGAGACAAGTATTTACATTAATATGCAGCCAAAAATATTGGTCAAAAATAAAATAACAAAACTAAATATTAAAGCACAAACATTCTCCAGCCAAAATATAATTTATCATTTAAAGTACATATTTATAAATACTGTTTACTAAATTCAACAGAATGCTGAAGGAATTTCCCGGGAATTATATTGAATAAACTTTGTCCTTCAACATCTTGAGTGCAAGAAAACTTAGCATCAATCATTTACTTTATTGATTTATATTGACTTCAATTAGACAACACCAATCAAAGGTTGACTTATAAGGATGATGAAAACTATATATAGGTTAGAACAACTGAAATTAATCAATTTTTAAACGTCATAAATGGCTAGCCATGCTTCAGGAATTCACTTAAGTTGCTTGATTTTTTTTGGAAACTACTCCAGAAAAATGAAAATCAGAAAGTCCCTACTTTGGAACTTTTAGTGCTCACATGTTTCACTACAATTTCTGTAATTCTCCCTGTTAATTTTAAATGTTCCGAAAAGATGGTAGTCCTGCAGTTCCTGAATGTGCATTGTAGACAATGCTCGAACTCGTATCAGACATGACACATCAGGATAGTGACAATAGTGTTACCCACCCTTTTAATAATTTAAAACTTCACATGGGGTAAAATCAACTTTTGAACTCATATTGAAAAGCAACACCCATAAAGATTAGATAAACTATATACTACACTGTTTTAACTGATACGTATCAATATTGAGTCAGCAAAATTCATGACATGTGCTAATCTACCACTAAAGGAAGTGTTGGTACTGTATTTGTTCTATTACAAGCACTTCATTAAGATGCTTGGTAGAATCACATTCACTCACTTGTGAAAGGATTGTGATACATTTTGTCCATTTCTTTGAGCATTTCATTGACAGCATGCTACAGTGATGCCATACAACATTAATTTGTACTGAATTGTGAAAAATTTTGTCAATAAATCTACCTCTTTATTTAAACTTTTGACAAAATGTACTGTTATTATTGTTACGATTTTAGGCTGTAATGCAAGTCATTTGCATATTGATACACTATATGAAGCATCTTGTGAGGCTCAGTTCCAAGCCTAGCAATTGAGTAATAAATATTTTGGTTAAAAATGCTAATAGTTTGTACTGAATAACATTTGCAGAATTTGTGGCCAAATTAATAATCATGTAACGCATTTGAGACAAAAAACTGATAAGTCGTGTTTCTATCTGAATGTGAGTGAACCAAACTTTTTAAAAATGTGATTACTTATTACAAATTTATAAATAAATGCATGCGCTTTGAATAGAGGAAATACATCATCTTCCATACATTGTAATTCTGTGATTTATGTCTGAAAATAAATCTACTTATGTAGCCTTAAAAATGGTGAGCATTCACACGACTTTATAGCACATGGACTTTGCCTCACAAACAAGAGATTAAATTAATCTACCCTGCTCTTGAGACCATTGGCGGTGTCAGTTGGTCAATACTGCAAAAGTATTAATCAGTCACTCTGTTTTTAATTTTTCAAGTCCGCAAAATTTGTATTCATGTGAATATGTAAAATAACTTTAGAACTTTTAGTTTTGCTAAAAAAATCTGATTTTAAACCCAGTAGACACAATTTTAAATATATTGAGAAATACTAGTGACAAAGTTTTTACAGTATACCAGCAGCAGCAACTGTGATCGTAACTAATATAGATGTCAGTATACCATGTACCCAGCACACAGTAAACTGCTTTATTTTCAGAAGACAAATTTTCATGAATTTTTGGAGAGGGAAAAATTGAAAATTTCATTGGGATCTTATTAAAATCTATGAGTCACTGTGATTGTCACAAAATTTGCTTTTCATTAATGTAATCAAAATATCTTATCGTAAAATTTGATAGCGAGGCAAAAAAGTTTAGTTTATGACGTCCTGAGTGAGCAATGCAGCATACACTGACACAGCACGATCACTGTGTCAACTGGAACAATGAGCAAAGCGTAACAATTACCGATATGGTGTGACAAACCATGACATAAACAATAGAACACAAATTTGACATATCATAATTACTACCTGACAAGGACATAAACAAAGGTATGGCTGGTGCTTGGCATGACAAATCAAAGACCATCCAAAGTACTTCATAAAAAAAAAAAATTCCGTGAGCTTGTGTCGAGATGTACTACTTTCCAACTGAGGCAAAAAATTAATGATCTTTTTTATTTAATTGAGCATCACAGTTTATGCTTCTAGACTAAAATTACAGTAGAATTCAAGATGATGTGAAGGCATGCCATCACGTGATATCATTGACGTCATTCTTGTAATCTACATGAGTCAGCATGTATAGACATGAATGGAGCAACCACTATATCACTGTCTAAGCACTAGGCATAAGGAGCTGCTAGTAAATCACCATAATATGAGTTCCAACTAAGTTCACAGAACAAACGTGCAAAACAACAAGCACATTCCACACAAAGATTTGAAGTTGTTGTCCTGGCAACTAAGGGAAATAATATCTTATAGTGGTACCGGTAATCTAATTTATACTAAAATTAATATGCTATTGCATAATACTTTGAAATGCTGCTCATACTGTAATCATTCCATTAGTTGGACCACATTCATTCAGAATTTTAATCACCTTGCTAGGAAATGCTATTACCTTGACCTTATTGACAAAAATCAAGTTAGTTACAACTTTTTATTTTTTCTGTGTTTTGTTTACATATTTCACCCTTTAGTTCTGTGAAATTACCTCTATTGACATCCATTATTCAACAATCCTAATTCAACCAACTAGTTTTTCTTCTCAAACTTCATCCTCCAAAAATATTTATTTGTTTATGATGCAATTAATGGATAATAATATGTAGAGAATTTCATTCTAATTGGTTATTATTCATTACTGGTGTAATATACATAAGTTGTCTAGTCACATTCTCTATAATTCCTGTATTAATTACCACTCTACATAACTGATTGATGACTGTTAACAGGAAGACACAGTGAGAAGTATTCAGTTTACACAAGATGAGAAAAAGTTCAGAATATACCAGTAGTATAGTAAAAGCATCATCATGTGAATTATTGCAAATAATAATTGTCTTTTAATCGATGCAGGTCTTCAGAGCTTGTATTTGGTTTTCCAATGATTCTCTCTGCTTCCTTTCTTCATGTAGAAGTCCTGTTGTTGAAAATGAACATAATTACAGTTGGACATCACAGAATACACAAAGAAAGCTGTAAACATGTTGATGGGTGACTTGAATGTCAACTCACAAAAAATTGCACTCTGATGATACTTTATTTTGGGATTACCGTACTCGACCGCGTTAGCGCCCAGGGGCCTCAACTCAGAAAATCATGATTTTGTAGGGGTGGGCGCTTACCCGAGCACCCCCCTCGAAAAAGAGTACAAATGAAAATTTTGATTCATCAAGTGACAGATTACGTCTTTGAGGGAAAATCAAATTACTAAATTAATTTGCGTCGTCATTGATTTTCACATCGAAGAAACAGAAATGATCACAAAAAATATGCACATTTTATTACAATATTAATTACGTACCACCATAATTTACGGAATTAAAAACATTTGAGTCTGTTGGAACACAGTCGAAGTCAAAATTGTCATATTATTTCCACTGACGAAGTTGTTGGATCGTACGCAAACTCTCGATGAAAATCACTTTCTGCCATGATGCAATTGCAGATTTGACCTACAGCAGCATCGTTTGTCCTAATGGGTCAAAGTTGGTTATTAACTAATCAGATTGCTGTGTTGAACTGACGCAATTCTTCGGAAATTCCCGAGGACTTTCCGGTAACGCAATGCGGAAGAGAATAATCGATGTCGAAGTACGATCTGTTGGAATTGATTTCAGCGAATAAACGACATGGTTTTTCAAAAAAACTAGTAACTAGCCATTTTTGAGAGGTAAACTGAATATGACATGAAATATTTATCGCATTTTACTTGTATTAACAGGTCATTGTCGAAGCGTAGTTTACACACAGTTACCATGTTCTACGCATTCACAACATGTTCACAGCGGTCGATATCCACGCTGTATCATATAAAAATGATTACCAAGATTCGTTACGCAAGACCAAGTTTTAAATTAGTTGCATTTTGAAGGGGTGGGCGCTTTGCCGAATGTGACCCCAAATATAAAAATTGCGCAAAAGTGGGGGGTGGGCACTTGCCCGGGCATGGGCGCTAACGCGGTCGAGTACGGTATATAATAAAAATATGAGGTTATTACGAGGATACCTCAAAGTATGCACGTAGACAGTACAGCTGAGTATCGGAGGTCGATGCAACGGCATACTGTCTGAGTGCATACTTTGAGGAATTTTTGTAATTTTATTATTATATATCTTTTCCTTCCAAGGATACACCATGGGAATGCCGATATCCAAAATGTTTCGAACAAAATCAGCAAACTCCTTTGTGTGGAGTCCAGTCAAACCCTGGTGGCAGCCATGTTTGTTTTTATGATTAGACTTAGAGGACGCTTAGGCAGGTAATCATTCCATATTTGGAATTCGCATTTCCTAATATGGTAGGATGAAAATAGCCCATAAAATACCGCAAAATTCGACACTCTTTAATAATACATGTATAGTTTATTGCATCTTTAGAAATAAATATTTCCATTAGTATGTAGCAATAACATTTTATGAAAAAACAAGTACATAAATAAGAAAAAATAAAAGATTTAGAATCGCCCTCTAGTGGTGAAGTTGTACAATGATGCAACACTTTCATAGACCATAGTCTCTCAACAGGTGGAACAGAGCCTACATATGTACGGAATGACTCAAATAATCAATGGTTTTAAGAAACAAAATTAGAGACAAGACTTTTTTTTAATAGTACAACATGTAGATGTTTCGTACATTGCCAAAAAGTGGACACAGAAAGCATAGCATACACGCTACATACAGACGTTGTGCATTAAATCATATGCAAGTGAAAAAAAAATGGCTACAGGGTTGTGTTTAGAACTCCAGAGGGCGCCATCAATTGAAATCCAATTTTGTCAAGTGATCTAAAGAGATTATAGGATGACAACTTTTTGGGGGCCCTGGGCGAATTTTAAATTACGCTGTCATCCTGAGAGGCTGAGCTCTTCTCTGATGGCCTGTCACTGATGATATTATGTGTCATTTCCTATAATGGTGTATGTTGTGCGTGGTCATTTTCCACGGTCCCCATCACATGAACGATTTTGACAAAATGGCGTCTACCAAAAGTTTTCATATCAAATTTTATGTTATATACTAGCCTTGTGTAAGGCCACTACGTGCAATCGTGTCTAAAACAATGTTTCTGTAAGATTTCACAATCTTTATGTGGTTTAAACAAATATTTAAACAAAAAAATGTTCAAAGTAACAGCTATTAAATTGTTGTTTTAAACAGCAGTTTTAAATATCCACTTACTTTCAAGATTTTTAACTCTCTCCTCAGACTTTATCCTCTGTTGTTTTTCATTTTCATATCTCTCTTGCCATTCATTTGTAACTGAAATGAAAGCCAATAAAAAATGAATCATTTTTAATGCATAAATATAATCCTATACAACTGCATAGTGGTAACACTGCTCCTATAACCTAAATATCAAATTAATAATATTGTCTTCAATTTGTTGAAGGGTTACAACAGGTGAGGTGTTATGTTAAAAGAGCAAGCTGTGTTTTAGTCAATTTTTTCGTATTTTTTTAATTCATTTAGTACTGAACCAAAATGAACTTTGTGATTATTAAAGTAGACACAATGTAATGGGGCATTTATGATAATTAAATGTGAAAAGCAGGAAATGAGTTTTTCATCAAATTAATTGAGCAGCTGTCTGAGAACTATTTTACATGTGCATAGATCATGTACATCCTAACAATTTACCCTGCGTATATTCAGTTGCTACGGTAAGACCACAAAGGTTCTTTTGGTTCAGTATCACATGAAAAATCAATCTCCTTATTGGCAGTATTCCTATGATAGAGAATAGCATAAAAGAATCACAATTACTGTTTACATTTACCGGTATCTGAATTTTGGTTGGCATCACAGAATTTACATTTATATGCTGGCACAGACAGTAAGCACTGACTAACAAAATAATAATCACCATCATCATCATCAGTTTATATACATCATTACATGTAATGAATTAGAAAGCTAAATCAAGATACAAAAGCCTTTCATTAAAAGCAACTAAAGACTCATTATGGAAAATATGTCTTTATCTTTGTGTCAGTTGACGTGCACTGACTTTGAAGGTCACTTTTCAGACATTTTGATATGCAAATTGCAAGTACTGACGATACACATCAGTACTGTAAATTACATTATTTTAACTAGAATTAATTTTCACTGATTTTTTACAAGTTGAATGTAAAATTATAGGAATAAAGAAATATTTGCTGAATTTTATTTTCTGAATCATCCCTTCATAGTACATTTTGCCACTGCATGTGACAGGGCTGGGAGGCTATGTTCTTACCATAATGGCATTACAGAGACGAATGCGCTTTCCCAACATCAAACAGCTCCAGTTAAAGGGGAGCAGAGGTCTGGCTTTTGTCACTCTGTACATGAAATTTGAGATCTATGAGTGAATTCTGTCGATAAAAACAACTTGTATCTGCTGTGAAATGTCCTAAATATTGGGTATAAAACGGGCTGTGAAGTAGACCATCCTCTGCTCCCCTTTAAACACAAGCACCTGAAGTTTCAGCTGAAGTTGAATCCATGGCAGGGTGCCACCAGTGGCTTTGGCCTATCTAATCCGTCTAAATATACCAGTCTTACTATTAATGTAGTTAAGGAATATATGTCTAGTTATTGATGTACCAACTATAAAAGACTGAGGCTTTGAGTTCCAGAATTGCACAATAACTATATGGGACAGCCACCTTTGCTTTTCAACTTAGTAAATGTATTTTTTGTCTGACTTGATAAGGATGCTCTATTAGTCACACACTGATCAACCAAATATAAAAATATCCATAATATTGCTGAGAAAAAATTTAAACATTCATTAAAAGTATAAAAATATATAAGAAATACATGTACTAATATGATGGTGTGACGAGATTCAGGAGATCAATTTAGAGGAAGAGTAATTTTAATCCTAGCATAACTCACTGCGCCCTCAGCGATAGATTCTGAACATAACTTACTACAAATCCGCCATTGAGGGCGCAGTCGTACACTGATCATGTTAAGTTATGTGAGCGATGCTTGTATATAATACAAATCAGATTGGTATGTAATACACTGCCATTTGTTTTGGATAAATACTCACTTTCTGTTGACCTTTCAAACTTACTGGCTGCCAGACTGATCAGCTCTTGCGCTGTTTGTAATATATACACAGGATCTAAAAGGAAAAACAAAGTAAAATATATGATATACCTGTGAGAGGAATCTAACAACCAACAATTTTAAATTATTTCAAAGAACGGCCTTGTATTAAACAGACAATTTTAAAACCAGTTTCTGTAGATTCAAATGCACACTTCAGAACTCAAAAAAAAAGTACTTTTTGCAATTGTGTGAATAAACAACTTAATACTGTGCTAATTTCTAATCTTGAAACAGAATTCTATTTTCAGAGCAACATATTTTACAGAATTGTCCAATAAAATTTGTTTTTTCACAGAAGCTTTTTGACATGAATCGATTAGAGTAATTAGAACCAAAATATATCAAAAAATTGTCCAATAATGACACAACAGTCTGTAACAGAGATGAAACAGAAATTAAAATTGTCAAAAAACGTAACTGATTAATATCTCTGATGGGATTAGATACAGAAATCTGAAGTCAATTAATTAGACTGAATGAAAAATTATAATATCCACAATTCCTTTTAATTCGAACCAGATACCAAATCGATACAAATCCATAAATGTATATACAATTTGAATCTTTCTCACCTTCTTTGTCAGAGGCATTTTGAAAAACTTTTTCAGAAGTTTCTGAGTGTTTATTATTTTCATGAAGCCAGGACGGTGGATTTTTTCCCAGGTCGTCATTATTTTCATTGGTAATATTATTTAAGGAACTCGTCCTCCGCAGGGATCCATGTGATCTGAGGTTTAGTTTCAATGAGTCGGTGGAGATTCTGGGAGGAAGATATTTCTGCAACGTGTTTTTGTTGGTCTTGAAAGAACTTCTGTTCTGTGAACCCATTATGACGGGTCTGTTGAGTAACAATGGTGAACTGTTTTCATTAGGTTCTGTATTATTAACAGTTTTGTGCACAAGAATGCCTGGAGCAGACGGTCGTCGTTCTCGTTTCATTATTACAGGTTGTCTTGGTAATGCTGAATCATCCATTGAAAGGTTGGATTCAGCACTGTCCAAAAGAGCAGCTACCAAATTCTTGTGCAAATTTGAATCACTTCCAGTAGTTTGCCGACGATGTTTTGAAAAAAGAGAATCTGTGAAAACAGATGATCTTTTTCGAGGTGATTTTAGTCTAATTCTTAGCTGGAAATCCTCCCAGAGCTGAATTTGATTTGAAGATGGGTTTTCAATATTAAGTTGGATCACATTTGCATTACATTCTTCACGTCGGCCATACTCGTCATGAAAATGACACAAGAAAGCACCTGGAGAAAAGAAGATGCCGCAGTCCTTGCAACGAATGCACTTTGATTCGCTGCGTGTGTGGTACTTGGGTAACAGTACACCCAATTGAGTTCCCTTACTGCTGCAGTGTTTTACAGGTAGCTGTTGACTCATATTCCGCCTCAATCTATCTGATGCATTCAGCGCTTCACACACATTCTCTTCTATCTCCATCTCAGATTCCACATCATTTGAATCGCCACACGATCCCTCATCAGATGGTATAACCTGCGAGTTATGTGATCTCAATGACGACAAGAATCGTTCAGACCTTGTCAGTTTCTGTGATGAAGCAAGGATGGGCTGATCAGTTAATTTGGCAAGTTCTGTATCCAACTCTGCAATAATACTATCCAAACCACTGCCAGAATCATCAAGATTTTGATTAATTCTTCTAAACTTGGGAGAAGTTCGCAAATTTCGAGATGGTCTCACATGTACTGTCATTGGGCTCATATTTTCCATGCTAATGTCTGCATGATTCGACAAATCTCTTAGGTCTAACTGACTGGAGGATGCCATTTTAAATCGATCTTTGAACTGTTGCCTTGGTGACCTCCGCATGTCCCACGAGTGATTAATTTCTAGCAAATAATATCATCACGAACACTTTGATCTTCTTAGAACAGGAATCTGCAAATAAAGGAATTTCAACCTATTAGGAGGAATACTCGCAGCTGTATGATAAACTGAGCAGGTTGCTTTAACTTCACAGAAAGTCTATTCTCAATACCTCAAAAATGAATGAGTGTGATTTTGAAATGAAAAGGCAACATAACGAAAACAGCTCATAACAACATGTTGTACTAAAGCATCATGCACATTTAATAGTTTTTGAGGAGACAGAAAAAGAATTCTATTTGTCATCTCTCATATTCTAGTATGCCGAGCAGATCGGTCACATGAAATAGAATAAATATAAACCCTCTGTTCATGCAAATCACACCTTGGATTATTGAGCTGAATTATTTTACCAGGCCTGCCGTTGCCTGCCGTTGCCTGCCGCTGACACCTCAGACATTCAAATTACCACACAAGTTTGACAAGTAAACTCCCAATTTTGAGATGACTGTACAATTATTAACTGTAAGATTCCAGGTATACAAATATTTGGCTTCCTCATGTGACATCTGTTTAATCAGGGTGATAAATTTTCATAAATTCCTCAGTTGCACTTAATATTTGCTTATTATTATAAGGCCAATTATTATTTTTGCTGCATGTGATTGCTGTTGGTGATATTGTGTGTTATTCTAATATAAAAGAAAGTTTGGGGTCAACCTCTAAAAACTTGGGGTTATTGGAACTACACAATTTTGTTTGTCATGCCAACTGACAAGCAAAATAGGCTGACAATATGTTTTGAATAAATAGTTGGTTCTCTAGACTAGAAGGCACCAATTTGATTGGCAGGCGTTTAGTCTAGGATGCAGCATTTAAAGACAGTTCAATGTATAGACGCTGAGAGTACCACACCAGCTTTGAACTATTCTATATTTCAATATGAAAGTTATTTCAACAACAACAAAAAGAACGTGACAGTGATGCGATTGACGTCTGATAAGCATGATGCGCAAATGAAATACAACAAAGCAAAAGTAAGAGGTTGCTTTTGGTAATAACGGGTCAAAAGCAAGTGAATATCAGTTGGTGCCATTGAGTCTTGAGAAAACAAACTGTCTAGCCAATTTTAAAACAGGTATGCCAATTTGATGCACTAACACATGCTCTAGGGTTGCTGCAAGGAACTCGTATTTACTGTGAACAAAATAGTGACCCAACCAGCAGTATTGCAATATAATTCCATGTTTTGCCAACAAAATAGCAATATTGATAGTTCAAATGTTTAAAGTTTGTAATGGCAATCTGATATCAAGATATCTACTTTGTTAGCAAAACAGTGAGCTATATTCGATACTGCTGGTTTGATTGCTCTTTCATTCACAGTCAAGTTATGGAAGATGCTTGTGTTCCGAATGACATGTATATAGGGTAAGAGGTGATTGGCAAAATTCAGACGACATAAATGTTTGAGTAACTAATGTGGAATCAAGATTAAGTCCATGAAAAGATGTGACCATGGATAGAACTTTACGCAGCACATGACAGTGTTTCCTATTTGGTTATATCACTTCAAAAATCTCAAATTTGGGAAATGTGAAGGAATGTTTTTCAGAGTACTCAATTTCACTGAAAAACCTGTCTTAGGAGGCACACTACAGATGAAATGCAGATATTGCTATGTTGTTGAGTGATATATTGAGAATTCCTTGATCCCAACCAGTCATAGACTGTCACTAATCTATATATCATGAATATTCATAGAGCTACTTTATTTTAACACTACTATAAACATTTTGATCCCAAAAGTCAACTTTTCACAAAACAAACCTGCAATTTCATATTTCAAAACTTTTGATTAAGACTTATTATTATTGGAAAATTATGTCCATTTGGTCCAAAATTAACAAGGAAATTATAATTCCGCAGGAAAAATTATGGTGTTTAAAAGTGTAAATCAAGTCAATAAATGCAATTTACCTCATTGCAAACAATAAATTTCAATTTTGCTTTAACCATTCCTGTCACAAGTGAGCATTTGTGCAAATTCAATGACAATTTTGGTCTCAGAACACACTTGAAATTTCAAAATCATGTATTTTTTCTATAATTTCTCTGCTAATTTTAAACCAAATTTTGGATACAATTGCCTACAGGTCTTTTTCTTTGAAAAATAAGTGAAAATTACTGTAAAATGACTAATTTTCACTGGGTTTAAATTTCACTGATTTACCATTTCAGGCATATTCAGTGGGTTTTTAATTCACGGTTTCGTCATTTAGATAATGTGTTCTATGCTAAATTTTACATATTCACTGTGTTTTAATTTAGCTCATTTTTCCAGTCAGCGAAATAAGCTAAATTAAAACCCAGTGAATAATTACCCCCTTTACAGTATGTAGATTTATTTGTGTCAAAGGTCACAAAAGTTGACTTTTGCATTCAAAGGTTCAAGTACTGGTAGAAAAAAATAGTAGTGATCTAAAAATGAAATTAATAAACAAGTATGCACATGAATGTATACAGGCACTGCACCTCAACTTTATACATGCTACTGGCAAAATGACAAGACAGATAATTGAAAGTCAAAATGCTTTGAAAACCAAGTTCAATAGGTATATATCACAAATACAACTTGTACTGCCACCGTGGACAAAGGACACTATATAAAACATATGTACTTAACCCCAGTGTTTGTGTGAATGAAATGCGCTTGACTCAATCAATGAAAGGAATCATCATGGAGCTTTCTCTACACCCCACCTGTGATGTGTTTATATTTCTCCCTTCCTGCCTGTATACTAACCAAAAAAACCAGTATAGGTTCAAACAATGGGTCTTAAGCATAATATAAAGATTTGAATTTTCAAACACTCTGATTGGGTGGTAGAAAATGTTGAAAAACAACTATTCCAGGGGTCTGATAATGGACTATAGCCGAGTACATATGCAACTGTCGTGTCACAACACAATACTGATATTTTAAAAAACCCACTGCATTCACCTTTGAGAAATTGGGTTACTCGAATAAGGTTTGCCCAGACAAGACTGACAGGTCATATAATTAGAGACTTGTTATTTTCAAACCATTGTGGTTCACAGACGTCAGTGTCAGACTGCATCAAAATGAGCAATTACTTGTCTGTCAACTCTATTGCTGCTACCAACAAAAAAAATTAGAAAACCAAAAATGGGATTTGAATGAAAGCGTGGCAGCAAACAAAATCTATCGGCCATTTCTATAAAGCAGTTGTCAAATTGTTCATGCTCGACAAAAAATATGAATTTTATATAAATGTGATCATACATCACCTAGAACAATACATGGCACACCAACAGAGACAAATGCAGGGAAAAACTAAATTTGCTGGTACTAGTAATATACAAACTGAGCCTTCAGGAACGTTAAACCTAGCCAAGAAAGCCAGCACCAATTATCATCAACTCAAGCACTTGCACGGCAAGGCAAAGCAAGGCAGAATGCAAAAAAACAATGACGTACAGTTCCACAGGACTATAATGCTGTAAGAAAAATATCGTTTGAGCACATTCAATCCTTTTCTATTGTAATTCTATCTCTGTAGAAGAAGGCTTTGGTAAAAGGCGGCACTCTGGATCAATGTTACAGTTTTATTCATTAGTAACCAAGCAGTAAACAAGCCATGACCCTGAATTGTAAAACAGAATTTACCGGGTAACTTACAATTGCATGGCTGTGACAGTGATAAGTTTTAGCAATTACATGTTCATATTCGTGTTGTTGAAAAATATGGGAGAAAATCAAAATCAACAAAATCCAGAAGCGCACATGGGAAAAAAAATGTCAACTAAAAAGCCACTGCATTTATATTTAATTTGTACTATAATGACTGATCTTATGAAACAAATTATTACAGATACTAGGTATTTTATGATAAATCAATGCTTTGTTGTTAAAAGTTACCCCTATAGGTACTTGGAGTAGTTAATAGGACAGAAAGAACTCCATTATTCAAAGTGTTAACCTTCCAGAAACCACTTGTTGAATTGGACCACAGTACCACTATATTAAACCAGGGTTCTTTACAGTGCAGCAGTTTTATATATTATTACAAAACATATATGGAGTTTTCTAAACTCACACCATAGATGGCCTTGTGAGTAGATCAACATCTTGCATCATTGCAAAAAACCGTTAACCTGCCTTAACCTTTATATCTATAACAGTCCTCCCCTATTTTTAAATTACCCACATCTATTCTGAAGGCAGGTCACACCATTATGGCCAAATATATGTGTATAAGGTTGGGAAGGTTATCAACGCAGACTATTTACAGTGTACATAGTATTTTAGATAGCCCTCTGGGATTACTTAGTTTTCACTTATTCTATAGTAAAACTTATTGAATCTTCTCTGATTGAAATTTTGGCACAGTGCCCACCATTAGATTTTTGTAAAGGATTAGACATACACACACAAAATTAAATTTTTGAACTTCAACACTCACACTGACTAATTTCTGATAAAACAATTACAAACTTAAGTTGGAGATGCAAAGTGTGGTTCAAGTGAAGTGGCTGTTATTCCTATCAACATTTCTATGCTTTCGAGAGACACCTCAAAAATTACTTCTTAAAATTTTTACACTAGGTAGATATACTGCATTGGGCCAATGCAAAATGCACTATAAAATCAAACATTGTGAATATGCGAAGTTAATTATATAATTTATAATTCTCTCCACAAATCAGTAATTTAAAACATGTGAATATATTTGCAACATCAAATCCACTGAAATTAAACCAATAATATATTTCCTGCTGCAATTTATAACAAAATGTAGAGAGAAACCTAGAATTTGGGTGTCCAAAATAAATTTGGTACCCAGTTTTATTTTTCATCAACCAGAATAAATTAACAGTTAAAATTTAGTCATGGGTTTAATAGTGAATGGCAATGGCATGCATGAATTCAAGTTTCTTAGGAACAGTACTATGCCGGACATAAAAACGTGGATACAATGTACATACAAAAAAAAGATAAGATTTAAGCCTATATTGATAGGTGCAAATCTAATTACAAACTTTTAAAGAAATGTTTACAAATAAAACATTTTCATGAAAATGTCATCACTATATGTAGTTTTAAATTTCGCACCCCTCAAAAAACAACAAATACATGTATATAACAAAAGTAATATTTTTAAAACTGACCTACAGAGCAATCAATGTACTGGTACTTACCAAGTCAGGCATGTAGACTGACTGGACCCAGCTGGCAGTATCTCATTTGATGAAGAATGTCAGTTACAAGCAATTAAAACAAGTCGCAGCATGTTTTCCAAATTGACACAAAACTTTACTACAAATTTGTAGTTTGGAGTTAAAGAAATCAAAGCAAAATATAAACTGATATCTATAATGCCTATTTATTTAATTAATAATAGATAAATATGAAACATTTTTAGCAAATCTGATTGATTCACTGAACAAGAATTCTCTGCACTTAACCGTAATTAATGCAGCCAGTGTGAACAGTATCTTTCTATAAATTGGCATTATCATTGACAATGGGTTTTGACGCCTAGGGGAGGTCACCATAACAAAGAGAATACCGTTTGGGAGAGACATTATGTTCGAAATTTTACATGCAAGTAGTGGTAACCATGACAAAGACCTTAAAAAACCAACAAGATTGACACAAAACAACCTACACAAGTGTTTTTTCACACTAAACAAGGTTGTTGATGTTTCAAACTTCCCACCAGAAGACGTGATTGGCCATCACGACTACTTTGCAATTATCAACCGATAAGCCGAATGCCAAGGTTGGGTAGCGACAGGTGGTCTGATCTATTAAATAGACCTGTCTCCCTGAGGGAGGGAAAATAAGAGCTTAGGTCCATACTTGTTCCAGTACATGTTGATCTATTCAATCATACGGGTGGAAGTAAAGAAACAAATTTACATTCAGACTACAAAACAATGTTGATTCTTTTAACAGAACGAGGAGCAATTTCACGGATATGATTTTTTACAGTATTAAGTCAGCAAAATAGAAAAGAAAACAAATACTAGTTAAGCCCAAAGTACTTTCAGACAAAATACATAGTCTTTTTCAACAGGGCTTGAACTTCAGAGTTGACAGTTTCAAAGCGAATTTAGCTCAGCTTATCAATGCATATGAATAGGTACTTTTTCGACAGGAACTAAGGCAAAACGTGTTTCCTTTAATGGCTCCACGAAATTTGAGTCTGTTTTAGTCAGTATTCAAATCTTTAATCTTATATCATCATGCATACCTTTTGTTTATTTTAATCAGTAAACAATCTCAGCTAATCTCCATTAAAAACTCTAACGGTTGTCCTAGCACAGCATAGATAAACGAGGGAGATAGTTCTGATTGTTTGCCTGGTTGACTGAATACCTACTCGAAACACAATATCTATACAATAACTGGCTTGGTGTCTTCATTGTCACAATAGCAAGAATCTGGGGTTGGGAATACACTCTATACCGCCGTTGGCAAAAATCCCATTGAGTTGGCAAATTGAAAATGGCTAAGCTATACTGAACAAGATGAATGAATGAAAGGGCGTTGGTATATCAATAACATAGCACATGGTTTTTACAAGTTGACTGCTGCTGCTACATGGTTTTTTTTTCCTTGAAGGGAAAACGGGAAAACTGAAATATCTATGATAGAGCAATAACTTTGAAATTGCTCAGAAATGTGGTTCAAGAAATCCTAACGATAAAACGAACAAAGTTCAAATTGTTGTGATGCATTTAAAATTTTGCATTCAAAGGTGATATTTTGATCTTTAAAATAACGAAACTTTTTTTTTAAAAAGGTGTGAATTAATTTCACAGTTCATAGATTTCTTTGATGAAAAGTTCATCCTCTCTATAATGAATTCTTCTATCCCTTCAAAGTCAGGTGTGATCATGACAATACAAGGTTGGGCCGGAGGTGTAACGTTGATAATAACACAATGCGATATGCATTTTCGGTACCAGTAAAGTTACTTCAACTACACCAGGGAGCTGTAATGAGACTACACCCACAAATCCATGCACTCAACAAATCTGTGCAACATAGAATTGTAACATTCCATAAACAAAATCAAAGCCAAACATAGTTTTAGAATTACACTGTAGATTGAGGAGATGTGTTTGAATACTACTGAAATATGGCAAGACAATTGGGAGAATTATGCTCGAATTTAAGTCAAAGAATGCCAACCTTTTAGTCAGCTTTCACACCAAAAAAATGTCAATGATTTTAATGTGAAATAATAACCGTTTGGTTCAAAAATTAAGAAATACATTAAAATGAACAAATTGTTGCAGCAATATTTTGCCAGGAATAAACTTATGAAACGATTCCAGTTGCAAGATTGTGATCCACCAATATAATGTTCTGGCCAGATCTAGTATTTATCTTTGTGCATTCAAGAGTCTCAGACTCCAGAACATGCACAGTTAAAATAATAATTGTTCCAGTAATCTAAAATAAGTCTTTTTTGTAGCTCCATGCTTCTCTCTATGTATGGTAAAATAATTCTTCAACAACCACACACAATTGAAAATCACTCAAGTGAATTGAAATTTTAAAAATGATTATGTACACTAAAATGAAGGTCAACTACACTGGGAAACCGCAAGTACAGTGAAAATGAATAGGCGGCAATTTCCACCAAGTTTAGTTTACTATGGCAATGAATGACTGGTTGTGTAAGTACTAACTGACAGAAAGACTGGTAACCACTTCTCAAGACGAGTGCAGCAAAGGGTTTTACTTTAGAAATAACGCTAACGAAATTAACACTTTTAAACAGAAACTTATAATTTTGTGAGAAAATTATTAACTGAGCACGGATTATGTCCAAATATACAAAACAGCTGATCAAATAAACAAGTAACTCACCTGCGTT